CTTGCCAGCGTGAGGGCAATTTGTATATCCCAGTTTTGAAAAATTAAGAAAAATTTGTATTTTGTTTTATTCCAAAAACGGACAGAACTTTAGAAAGAACGGTAGACCTAATATGTATACATATATATAATTTGAAATAATTTTATATAATTTGAAATAATTTTTTTCCTTCATATAGGATGCTGGATTTGCATCACATATATATGAAGGACCCCGTATACCCCCCTAACTGATTTTAAAATATTGCGAAAAAATATTGCGAGAATTTTTGTTGTAAAAAATTCTAATAAGTAATAAATAACAGATAAATATTATGTCTAATAAAACACACTATTATATTATTATAATTAAATGTAAGATTATATAGCAGAACGCTCTCTAAAATTAAGTCTAAGTTTACGTGATAACGTAAAATGGATAACAGTCAAAGAGATGAAGAGGCGCAATTTCGCGAAACTTGATTATGGGGAGGGGAACGTAATAATTCGCAAAACGTTGCAAAGCCTCTTCTCTTTCCATAACGTTCGGTGATCCACGCCTAGTTTGAGAGTTTACTCTCTTCTCTCTCCAAATTATCGGAATTTTCACGACGGAACTCGTGTATCTCACTTTTGACGCGCGTCGCACAGCGAAAGAGTAACGGGAAGAATGCGGGCAGATTTTCCTCACAGCAAGGCGAGCTTTACGTAACGGGGAAAAGGTGTTTATCTGGTGCTATGAAGTCACATTACACACACATTTTCTCTTAACCACTTTGTCATCTTACAATGTTGCCAATTGCATGCATCGTACATTATACAGGGTGTCCCAGAATTGGTGTAACATTTCTCGTAGACAGGTAGAAGAAGTAAAACTGAGTCGATAGATCCTATATCATTTTGCTAGATTCGCAATAGTTATCGAGATCTTAATTAACAAAGATCCGCGAATAAGCGTGCATCGGCTGTCTTACGCGCGTAAGATGCACGCTTATTCGCTGATCTTTGTTAATTAAGATCTGGATAACTATTGCGAATCTAGCAAAAAGATATAGGACTTATCGGCTCAGTTTTACTGTTTCTACCTGTCTACGAGAGATGTTACATCAATTCTGGGACACCCTGTATATATGCGAATTAGCAAGACGAGTTAACTCGATTCTTTTGTCAATAATTATCTAGATATACATATCGCGCGTAATTTATTTTAAATAGAAGCGAAAAATAACACTCGGCTACAAAAACATGTAAAATGTTTCATTATCTTGTTTTATCTTGAGCATATATTGTAAAAGTAAAGAATACAAAAAATTATCGCAGTTATACATCAATGTTACAAATAGTCACAAAAGCGGTTAAAAATCGATTGCCATGGTCTGCTCGCCGTGTGTGTTGCCGTTAAATAGACGTATGTTCCAAAAGCGGCGCAATTTGTGCTCTCTCGAGCAATGTAACTGCACTGTGATAACAAATTTTCTCCCGAGCGAGCGTGTGTGTCGATTATATCGTAATCAGGAGGTCTATATCACACTGCATCGCATCGCATCGTCGACGTACGCCATAAATTCGTTACACCGCTCGCGTTGCTCGCAACATTCCTTTGAGCCCCTGCCGACGTGTATTTCGCTTAAGCGCAACGCGGCGCTTTCACTTTCCGCCGTAGCGACGTGCTCAGATACAGATCGCGGTCTGTTGACATCCATTGATCATGACATGAATAATGAATGGATACACGCCGCCTGAATAATGCATGCATCAACGTCGAACAACATCCACTCGATAGCGGTGTATAACTAGCCGGGTATACTATTGGGGAACGTTGATGAACAGAGGCCGTTCGCTATTGGCCGGCAGCATGATATCGCTACGTAGTTACAGGTCGCCGATATTATTTTCCCCTTGTGTCTTAGTCAAATGCTTTTGTGCTCTCTGTGGAGAAAATCAAACGATTAACGTTAATTTTAATTATTTAGGTTCAGATCTTCCAGATGCTAGCTTACAATATCTTTGAAATAATTAAAGTTACACTAATTAAATCGTAACCAAAAGATTGAGAGTTACAATAGTAAGAATTGCCAATAACAACCCAGATAGCACATGACATCTTTGGGACGTCCATGTAAGATCCATTTTAAGTCCATATGTCCACAGACCGAAAATGGATATCCATCGAATATCCATTATTGGACATAAAGAGAATATCCTAAGCAAGGCATTCTATGGACATCCATTCTCGGATATAATATTGGGATATCCTAAATAGGACATTCTTGGACACAAATCTTGTATATTTATAGATTCTTGGACATCTTATATATTTATATTATATTTTGTCCTACTTCTATTCATATGATACAACATTCTTAATAAATACTATTTTTTAAATATATCTAATTTTTTAAATATATCTAATTTTTTTTTTCAAATCGAACAAAATTCGCAATTCTGAAACATTGTAATTTTTAAATCAATTTGCGTTTTATTAAATGTTATATAACGTATATATTAAATTTTATAAAATTCACTTATGTCTATAAATATTTTTAATAACCAAGAGTGTTAAAACTTATAATTAATGCAACTTTTAAACACGGAACATGTTTTGGACATTCTGTGGACGTCCGTTGGTAGAAATTAAAACGTCCATTAGACGTCCAATTAAGATCCGTCGAACGTTCAGTGAACGTCCAGCATGGACACTTTATGGACGTCGTACGGAGTTGCAAACTTACCTCGAATGTACGTCCACTGAACGTCCAGCGAACTTTAATCGGACATCCATCGGACGTTCCAATGTTCACAAGGGAACGTTTGATGGACGTCTAATAGACATCCATGTGCTATCTGGGAATTCTTCAAAAACGTCTTTGTTCACAAAATTTCACTCAGAGTATTTTTTTACAAAGTTTAAGTATACGCGCTCGCAATATATAACGCCAAGGACTGACGTGACTTTCTATTTTGTGAACTGTGATTTAGAACTGCGCTGTAAAACTAGCACTCTTAGTGATTCCGGAGCGTCGACTCATTAGTTCCTTCCATCTAATTCGTTCCTTGATTCTCCCTACTTCATCGTCTATTAAATTATCGATTTTCTATTCGTTGATCTCCAGAGGCGAGATCTCCTCTACCACAAAGGTCTTCGAATCGATAGAGTCGTCGCTCGTTTAGAATTTGGATATCTGTGTACGTGTCTTATCTCCTGTTTTTAAATTTGCGTCAACCGTCTTAGTCCTCTTAATTTTACAATTATCTTTTTTTGAAGTTACAAGAACACCGTGTGCGCGGCTCACGCCATAAGGAGCCATTATTCCTTTCTGAGCAATCGAAAAGATTTGTTTATGTGTAGTTCAAGTTCCTCGGCTCGGTTTTGTTTAAAACACGTAATTAGGTTAGGTTCGGGTCTACTTATCTTAGAGGTTCTCTCCGTCCGGGAATTTGTTACTTAAACTATTTCTTGGAATTCTAATTAATCGTTATAGTTAAATGAAGCGATATACGTACAATGCTCAACACAATATACTAAATAAATATTTTATAAATATTTTATATATATATATTTATATCTTATTCTTTCACGTTTGTGTGTGTGTATTTTTCTCTCCTCGCGAGTCTCTTATTTTTCACGAGTGTCAAAGCACAAGTAATGCGATTCAGCTGCGCAAGAGGGATTGGATTTTCTCCCGCGATATTACAGACGCCTCGGTAAATCGCATAAACACTCGAGAAAGAGCGACGTCGAGAAAGAAGTGTGGAAACTAACGTCGCGACGCTAACAAAGGCTCAAAAGAATAGAGTGTATGTTTTAGTCGTTAGGAAAGAGGGAAGAGGTTAATGAAACAGCCGCCGGTGTAGCAAAGCTGCCTCGTGGCATGCAAACAAGTTGGACTGTCGGTCACCCTCAACTGCCAGCTTGCTACAGAGGGATTGCGGAACTCGCGGCCGCAGGATGAGTAGGCGGAGTCTCGGCGAGAGAGAGAGAGAGAGAGAGAGAGAGAGAGAGAGAGAGAGAGAGAGAGAGAAAGAGAGAGCTCTTAGTTGCGTTAGGTTAGGTTAGGTTAGGTAGTTGCAGCTATTTGCGGCTCATCGGGACCATAATTAGTTTTCCTCGTGAAGTCTCGGTCGAGGGATAGGCAGGCAGTTTTAGGGCGAGAGCGAGCAAGCGAGCGAGCGAGCGTGCGGAACGACGACGCTTGGTTGGCGGAAAGTGCCCTTCAGTAACGCCGCTTCTTGTCGTGGGTTTATCGAATTCCACGGCCTAACTCGATCAAGCTCCAGCCTTCAGAATATTTACCTCTCTTGATAAAGTGAGCGCGAAAAAGGCACGGAGAGACAAACGACCAATTTCGTCTGTTTTGTTGTAACTGCGCAAACAAAAATAAAAAAAAAAAAAAAAAAATTTAACCAACCTTTGAATTTGAATAAATTTAAACGCGCGTTTATCTCGTTTTCATTTATTTTTACCTTATTGGATTTAATTTGCACTAAGAGGAAGACAATAGATAAACGTTTCGTTCGATCTCCGCTTCTCTGTTTGTGTAAAACATTTACAGTTATGAAAATGCAATAAATTAGAACGGCACGATGGAGAATTATTGTAATTAGAAGATAACTATTTAATTACATAGCTCGCAGAGTATAAGTGTGTGTGTGTATATATATATATATATTGTATATTATACTCTAATTAATCTCCGTATCCGTTTAGTTAATTAATCGCGACCCGAGCGCAAAGCGTTTACGCAACAGCACGAATATCGATAATAGTTGATTGAACTTGTAGAGCTTAAAGCGATTTCTTGCGAGAAGTCACGCGATGCAGAAATGTTTAAAAAAAAAAAAAACAAAAAAAAAGAAACAAGACGCGTTGAAAGCGCCGATAACATTATAACAAAAGCGTGAGATAAAACCGCGCTTTTTATAAAAAAAAAAAAAACATTATATTCACGAAATCACGCTAACTTTCTTTAACGATAAACCGTGTTTGAAAGGCTGACGCGCCGTTATATTACGTTGTTACAGGCTCCGTAAACGAGGCCGGGGTTTTTGCATTGCGCGGCAGGCAGGAAGGTAGTCGACGCTCTCGCAGAACGACCACCAGCACGACCAGCACAACAACGTCCGGCTCGACGTTGATACCTTTACCCGACGAAGTGGCGCAGCCCGCGGCTCTTTTGGCTCCCGAAGAGGACTCATGGTCCACCAGCTCTTCCACTACGACCAATGTTCCACTGTCCTCAGACGCGGTCGACACGTCGTCCAATCCACCTCTCGAGTTTGTGGTGAAACCACATAGTAAAGTCGTCCTGCCTTGCGAGTTGGAAGGAAATTCCTCGAGATTATTACTGCCCGGAGCGAGGTAAGCCCGCGTATCCAAATATTTGTCAACAATCGATTGTCGACGAAAGCGCGTTACGCGTTAAGTATTAAGTTTTCAGACGGTCTCGGAAATCGACGAGATTTTCATCAAATTAAAATTTTTCGTTAAATCAAAAGTCGGCAAAAAAGTCAACGCGGATGCTTTGGGCGCGGCGTACACGTGTTAACAATCATATTAAAAAAGTTAGTTTTGTATTATTTTTAGTATATATCAACTTTTACACGTTTCCGTTTTTGTTTTAATATTTACATATGTACACGATATACACGTACACGTGTAATGTATATATGTATATGTGTTCCTTTGTGTTACATTAATATCCCGTTACAGTTTGGTTAACACCAAGTTCCGCGTCGAATACACGACAGGTGAAATTATTCCCTCTGCGGAAACAAAGTCACTTTGTGCGATAGTATAGCGCCGGTGGTGATAGTTCGAAACGGTAGTCTCTTCTCTTCGTCGCTCGAAGATCGGGTGACGGAGTTTGTTGGGCGAACTAATAATGCGTATATACACCGGTGGTTCTTGTCAGGAGTTACAGAATACGACCGGCAATGTGGCTACACGAGGGCAGTCCGGTAGATATGATCACGATAGACACGAAAACGGAAATGAGCGGAACCGGGCACCGGTACATAGGCGACTCAACTACCGCGTCATTACACATAGACAACGTCAGATTGGAGGACGACGGTGTGTGGAGCTGCATGTTGGAAGACGACGGAGACAGGATCTTCTTCGGCAAATCGGTGAAGTTGGTCGTGCTCGGTGAGTACCCTTATTGCGATCTTCCTTCTCGGAAGACCTCACCCGCTTTGAAGTCGGATTTTCTTGTTGACGTGAAAAATTAAAAAGTCCGCGAACGTTACGCGCGCACGGTATCTCATACGGAAAGCGCGCTGCTTATTTTTCATATAAACTCTGTACATTTACACGCTCTTATCTGTATATTTAAATAATCATACATATATGTAATATAAAATATATGTATATTTGATTACCACGTATAACCACAGCGCAACTACATCTATGTATACAACGAAAAAATTATATTCTTATAAGTAGAAGATTTTATACTTAAAAAATCTTCTTAAAGATTTTAGATGATATTCTTCTGAAATTAAGAATATATTCTTTATTTAAGAATATAGTCTTTTTCGATAGTGAGATATATATGTTTTTCTATAGAGGCTTTTTATATTCTAATCAGTATATATTCTTATCATTATTGCTATTTAGAGGATTTTCCTCTTAAAATAAGAAACTCTTCTTGGCGCCTATTTTAGTATAAAATATACTTAAAGTAAGTGGGATATCTCCTCAAAACAAGAATACAATTTTTTTGGTGTACATATTTGTGAGCGATTGATTTAAATCGTGATGCAATTTTTGAGGTTTAATTTTTTTCTAGATTCGGTCTTCTATTAAAATTAAGTTCTACGAAGTTGTAAATTATTGCAATACATATAATATATAATGTAATGTGATTTGCGTGTTACGCTTGCTTATTTAAATGCAATATAAATTACAATCAACATTATGCACAAATAGGTACGGTCGCTGATTATTTCGGAACCATCAAATGGAAATTCATTTGAATTAATGAAACTTTATTTGAATGATAAAAAAAATCATCAGCATTTCATTATTAAATTTTATAGTTTTATCTTATATTCATTATTATTGCACGCTGTTGTTTATTTATTACATCAAGTACATATTAAATATTTGGCGGAATTAAACATTCGTCGTTTATTTGATCGATGCGCAATAATTTGTGTAATAAAAAAAAATATATATATAATATTATTTTTTGTACAATTTTTTATTTTGCACAATCAGAGATTTTGATTTATCTGGTTTGTTACAAAAAGAACAGATTTTTTTTCGATATAACGCAGTTTTACACCCTCGAAAAGTGAGATGTGTGTGAATTTTTTTTGGTAAACGTGATCCTACCTTGCATAAAGCCTTTCAATTTCGCGTGAATTAAATTCTCGTAAAATTCCGACTGATGAAATTTTTTTTTAGGAATGTGCCGGATACATTTAGAAGCGATAACTACGAGAGAAAAATTTTTCCCCACGACGTATAGTCGGAAGAGCAAACTTTTACTGTTTCCGGAACAAGGTTTTTTACTTTGTTTTTTTATATTCCGCATACTCCTTTTCTAAAACCTCCGTGTGCTTCTTCTTTTTTTTATTTTAAGCATAAAAAGGAAAACCTAAAGATTACATCAAAATTAATGTACTCGAATGTATTCCATTTTAGACTTTTCTCATAACATTACATATATTCTATTAAAATATTTGTCTTTCTTTATCTTTATTCATGCGACTATGTTGATTTTTTTAATTTTTAACCGCGCTAAGTAAAACACTCAATTATTACTTAATACAAAAAAATTACACAACATCGTATTGTCCAGCTTGTCGCAGTTGATATTTTCTTGTCGTTCTTTTGCACTCCAAAGTTAAGCATCGAGGATGCAACATCTTAGACGTGTTACCGTCTCGAAGAATTTCCAGTAAATAGGTCGCGGGATAAATCGCGGGAAGATACCGAGCTTTTGAGTTGCCGGTAATGGCAGGATTTATGCATATTAATACGCGCCACTTGAGCTCTTGCGCGGTTGCATCGCCCCGCGACATGAATATGCATTCGCCCTAAAAATTCACATTCTCCTTCTTTTTTTCTCTCTCCCCCTTTCTCTTTTCTTCCCGCTCATCCCGGACTCATCGTTCATTTTGCCGGCTGTGCATTTCGCCTCCGCGGCGACACGTGCATGTTTCGCCGCGAAACAACGGTCGCGCTGTGTGAGGCGAAACAATCACGCTGCTGCGCGCGCGCTACGTGACGCTCCTCGGCGTTCGAGAGAGCCGACAACCAAATAAACCCTTGCTTTATAGTTTGTCTCTCCACTTCTGTTTTTAATATCCATCCCGCAGAGAGAGAGAGAGAGAGAGAGAGAAAGAGAGAAAGAGAGAGAGAGAGAGAGCGGGACGGAAGAAGAACACGGCCGCGGCTTTTATCTCTCGTCGAGCGGCACGTTTTCGCTCGGGGCGCGATGTAGATACGTACAAGTGCGAATGTAGTTGCGCACACGAGGATCTTCATGTGCGTTTTTGTGCGTTTCACCTCTTTGCGTCGCAGGCCGCTGCTGCGCAGCGGTTTGCGGCGATGTTTATTTTTCGGTTCCCGCGCTTTGCGGCAACGATGGTCTTTGCAGCGACGATATATACTTTCACGGCTTTGCTTGGCACGATACTTTTTGAACGTTAACACAGAAATTGTTTATCGTTAAAAAAAAGAATTTTAATATATATAAAAACTTGATACGATCGAGAGACTTTCTAAGTCTAGCGTCGAAACGAGAACAACACGCGATGAAGAAGCAAAAATTTTTCTTTCTCTCTCTTTTCCTAATAAATATAATTTACTTGCCATTCTGTTAAAACCCCAATATATATATATATATATGTATATAATTTAATTGTATTCTGTTTGTCTCTCGAAATAAATTTGATTTTCTTTATATTCTCGGTTAGAAAAAAAAAAAAGAAAAAAAAACGAATCTCGGTCGGTTTCACATAAATTCTCGGAAACCAATTACTTTCGTTCAACTTTTCGGATTCGGCAGTCGAGTTATTTCGCGTATCTCAATGAGAGCGCAGTGTGCCGACTTCATAAATCTCCAGATATATCTTCTCTCTATTGTGTCCTTCGCAAACCAGTTGAGAGTAAATACGAAAGAAGAACGCTAAAAGTTGCCTGCCACATGAAATATGGCACAGAAATCCGCGGCGCAACGATAAGACGTTGAGTACACTTAACGTCTACCTCGCCAAAGTCGAGAAAAACAAATCAACCCCCGGGTGTTTCCGAACCCCGGAAGCACACGTCCGGCACGCCAGTACGAAAAGCAAGTTTTCATTGAAATGCAACGGTTTGTGTTTCTTCTATATAGTGGTTTTGCACGTTGCGTGCTATGCGCGCAATTGCGAGCAAATTTTTAAATATATACACTGAGAAAAAAATACTATTAACTCAACTAAATGCGTTTAGTCGAGTTTCGGTTTGTTATCTGAAATACTTGGTTTTTTCATTCAAGCATATGGCATTAAAGATAACAAATTCGTATAAGTTGAATTAACAATAGTGGTAATGAACATATTTAATTTCACTAAACCATGAACTGTTTTGTCGAACATAAGTTGTGATAATTTCAAATAAAAGATACTGTTAAAAAAGATGAAATAGGCAATTCTCACTTACTTTAATTGAATATAATCCGAATTTCTTTGTACTAATTATTTCATTTCAATCAAACTGCTTATTTTTATAAGCAGACAAAATATTGTGTTGTCCTATTGCACTGAGAGCAAAAAATAGTTGTAGTTACCACAATTTTACTATAATTTATAGTGATTTAAGGTGCCAACTATTTTTTTATAGTTATTTTAACAATGCGACTTATAGTTGATTCAATAATATATTATTGTTGCCATAGCTTTAACATGCATTCATACAACCATATGCATGGTTTCATACACTATAACTTGTGATTTATGTATAGTAAGTTGTACTGTAAATGTGATAATAAGAACCATAATTGAAAGATAAAAACACTATATGCCGTAATAAGAAGTCGTACTTATATAATAGTAAGATTAAACTTTTTATATATAATTTGATCTATAATGCATATGGTTCCAATAGTTGTAGTGATAAAACTGATAGTTTCAGTTTTAATGATTTTTATTGTTTTTAGGAAAATAGTAAATTGCTATTTATAAATGTGGTTACTAAAATATACTATTGCTATGATTCTATGCATTGTATGTAAATGATTACTTTTCTGGCCACTTTTTTGTATAGTTTCTACGATATCTTTAGTACATTCGTAGTTAAAAATATAGTTAACCAGACTATTAATGTAGTCATAAAAATGTATGTCTTAAGTTACTTTCCTTACTTAATTTTTAGTTATTATTACCAGTAAATAGTAAAGCTGATGTCAACAGTATAGTCACATTTACTATAATTGTGATTGTAATTATTACTTAAAACTGTGTATTTTATTTACCATCTGTTATTTGACATTTGACTATGTTACTATTTAAAATTATTATAATTTATAGCAAAATTTTTACATACTTGTCAAAACCATGTATATAAGGTTAGTTTTACTAATAATATAGCAATATTAACGATAAAAATAAGAATTCCAACTATAATTATTTTACTATGCAATTAAATACCAAGGTCGTAAATACCAAGCATTTTTCTCTCAGTGTGTGTTGTACATTCAAAGTTACCTGTATTTAAGCAAATGATAATTTTGTTAAAACAACTAAATTGTCTCTCGGTATAATCTAATTATTACATCTATTGAAACATGATATCTTCTTACATTAATCAATATTTCATTGACAGCCCGTGACCGCTGCGTATAGTTGAATCGAATACTATTTTGTTACTTTACAAACTTTTTTTGCTCAGTGTACTATTGAAATTACACATATATTAGATTTACTTAAAGATATATGTAGAATTGCATTTGAATTCCATAATTTTCTTTTTATTGCGATTAAAATGATAATTTAATTGATATATATATATGCATATATATTTGATCGGGAAAGCCCCGAGAAAGAAAGAAATATTATATACTGATATATATAATTGTGTAATTTATATAAATTGGAAAAGAGATATGTTTTACTCTCTCAATTTTCTAAATAACAAATAATAATTAACGATATGAT